TGCCGATCATGTAGTTACAACTTTTGTTTTGGGTGCTTCATGTCCGGAAAGCCGTTGGTGTTGAGTCGGCCATGAATGTCACGTTTTGGTTTTCGCCAAATTTTTTTTGCTGTTTTGACTTTCGTCACTACATTTTTTTTGTCGAACTGTTTGTTCTCGACGCCTTTTGCACATCATGTTCGGAAAGCCGGTGGTGTTGTGCCGACCATGATTGTGACTTAAATGAGTTAGTGTCAATTTTGCCACTAATCTCGAACTTTTTTGGGGATTTAACTAATAGTACTTGCGACTTTTTAGTATGGCAGTACTGGGGTGGGATTTTTCTAGAGTCTGCGACATAGTTGTCTAACAGATCTCCCAAGAGTTGGTAGTAGGAGTAGATTCTAGTTTTCTGTCTGTGACCTAGTTGTCCAACAGACCTTCAGAAATTAATGTTAAGAGTAGTAGAGTAGTAGTTTAAGAAATTTTAGGAGTCTGCGATTTTAATATCCAACAGATCTCACTGGGGTTTAAGTTTTGAAGGAGTTTTAGTTTAGGAAATTTTAAAGTCTGCGACTTAGATGTCCAACAGATCTCACCAGGGTTTAGTTAGAATTTAGAGATTTTTTAGAGTCTGCGACTTTTATGTCTGACAGATCTCAATATTGATGATGCTAGTGGTTGAATTTTTTGTAGTAAGCTTTGCATGCTTTTGTTTTGGAGCATTTTTGCTTTAGGTTTTTAATAATTTTGGGTCTGTGACTAATTTAGTTCAACAGCTTTCGGTTTGAGACTTGTGACTTTTTGTCCAAAGACTCTATACTTAGATGATGTTTTGGTATTTGGATATCTTTATTTAAAGTTATTTTCTTTTCACTTTGGGTTTTCATTTTCATCCATAATTCAACGGATTTCGTTTTGGCTTTTAGTATTTGAACTTTAGCTGTAGTTTCTTCAGCCTCGATTCTCGATGCTTTATTCGGGGAAGGGTGAAATGTAACGTGTTAAAAACGTTACATGGATCTCCTTCGCTCGAAGAGCGAGATAGAAGATTTTTTTGGTTGTCTCTCTGGTCGTTTTTATCTCGCGTCCATTTTCTTTAATCTGTGCACTTTAGAATTATTATGTTTCTGCATTTATCAAGCAGTAGGCTGTATGGACGTTGTTCTCTTTGCCTTCCCGGCAAGAGAAAACAAACTTGAGAAAAGACTAATGTCACTTCTGTCACTTTACTTCACGACCAAAATTTTTACGTAAAACATGCAAGAATCTTAATCGTAATTTATAAATTGATAATCCATTGGATTGTCGATTGTTTTTAATGGTAAGTGTTTTTCCAAATTCGAAAAGTGTTTTAATTCATATATTTCAATGATTTACATGAGGATTGATTTTGTTTACAGATGTAATATTTTACACCGTTTGCGCGGAATGGCGGCGACCCCATTCCAAGTTTAATTTGTTTGTAAAACGGTAAGAACCTTAGAGTTTTCCTTAGTTTTACATTTTTTCCTTTGTTGTGAGCCATGTGCTAATCTGAGGAATATTTATTTTCAGCGAAAAGCGTTTTTTTTATTAGGATTTTTTATCTGGATTTTTTCATACAAACTTCAACATTTTCCATGATGTGGAGGTGAATCCCCGTGTTGTAACAACGGCCATCCCTTACATATTTGCAACACCAGACATATTTAACTCCAAAGATGCAACGAGGTCGGTAATCTTCTAAATTCATAATTGTGTATCGGCCCCCATATTAAAGGTAACATTTTCACTTACATCTTGGTAGCTTTAGTATATAAAGTAGTTTCAAAATTTAGCAGTAACCCTTTTGGACCAGTAATTCTGTAGTAAATTTAAATAAATTGACAACCCAAAATGAATATGGATTCGCATTAAGCTCCCCTTGCGATTAATGGTCCATTGCTTTCCCGGCTAATAATATGGTACAGTCCAGGCGCCCGAATATTCTTTTTTAATTGATTTCGGCCTGTCCATTTCAAAAATTTATTTTTAACTATTACAATTGTCACCATTGCTTTTTTATTTTATTAATATTACAGTACCTTAGTTAATTATACTTATCACTAGTATTTATACTATATTTATAAAAAGATTATTTCTAAATAATAAATTATGTAAAGATAGTTTATACTCCCATCCCATATAACATCTGTTTATTTTTATGAAAATCATAATGATAACCAGGTACATACGTTATTACCGATAGTAAAATATAGAAACAGGTAAATGGAAAGACTTTGAACATTTCATTTGAAAATAAATCTATTATTACAACAGGTATAGGTACCATAGGTGCCAATTACCAACACTCATAAATCAATATGAATGTAAGCATTATTTTATTATTTTTATTATTAATAGCATTTTATATTCATTTAATGCATATTATTTAAGTGTTTACATAGAGGTACACACTTAATCTATTCAGAATATATAAAATGTACTTCTTTTACGATTAAGTATAATAAATATAACCTCCAAATCTAACACATTCTGTAGTAGGCCTCGGTACCTCAAGTTGTCCGTATCTCAACAAATGCCTAATTAGAGTTTATGTATAATTCCGAACACAACTAGCATTTTCTCATTGCTGTGCGTTCTAGGGCATTCAATGTATGGGGAACGAGCAATGTCCTTTATTTATATGTGTTTATGTTGGAATTGTGGCCACAGTTAAGACGGCGACAACGTAGATCATCACGCATAGTCCTCTGAAGGAAAGGGGAAGGTGGAATAAGAGAGAATAGTTATTCTTAGGAGTTCCTCAGAACACTCGCCGTGATACAGACGATAGAACGCGCTTAGTGACACAATGTCACGGCGTAATTGCAGAGGCTCGATGTGTTTAGTCACCTCCTCATCGCTTATGATGCGAATCGCGCGCTTCTGTAACCTATCCAAAGCATCGAGCAAGTACTTGGCGGAACCATCCCAGAAGTGCAAGCAATATTCCTCCTTAGACCGCACCTGCGTCTTATATAAAAAGCACAGTTGCTCGCTCGTGAAAAAACGCCGCGCCTTGTTCCGGACTCCGAGTTTGCGTGAGGCCGTTTTTACCACGCTTTCGATGTTATTCTTTGGATTCAACTCATAACGAATTTCCACAACGAGCATGGTGATACTGCTCTCTAGCTCCAGTGTTGTGGCCTGAAGAGAAGGACATGAAAGGAAAGGCGACGTTTTTGCTGTGAAAGACCTGGGTTTTCTTAGCATTGAACTCTACCAAGTTCTTGGTACCTTGGTAGTTCAATGACAAGATTGTCGTTTCTCCTTGATAACCGCCTATCCGGCCGCTGCTTGTCCGAAATATCCCATGCACTGTATTATCGACTGCATAGCAATGAATATTCCCAAGAAGATTAAGTCATCGTTATGCAGCAGAAAGAGAGGGGGGGATAGGACGGATCCCAGAGGAATGCCGACATTCACTGACATGAACCGCGAACTACTTCCATCCGTAAGGACACCAATTCAACTCTCATGCAGGAAGTCAGTTACCCAGGAACAGAACTGGGCCGACCGTATGCCGGAAGCTTGGAGAGAAGGCTTTTGTGCCCGACCTTGTCAAAAGCCTTGGCAATGTCAAGACTGATAGCTAACGACTCGGCAAGCTTGTCGATCATTAATCAGAGAGTGATCCTCCAGGTCAGATGGTTGTTAAGGACCTTTTCCAGGACTTTACATAACACTGAGGTGACTGCTATTGGCCGGTACTTGGCCGGGTCTGAGCGATCCACTTTTTGGGCACCAGTTGCACATTAGCATCTCTCCAAATCTCCAGCACACGCCCCAAAAAATAGAAGCTTTGGTACAAGCGCGTGAGCACGGGAGACATCTCTGCTGCACATTTTTTTAGCACAATTGCTGGGATGCCATCAGGTCCACTAGCTTTCCGTACGTAGAGTGATTTCAATCCAGCGCGAACCTCTCGCCGCCTGATTTTAATATCAGGCATCGTTATGCCACAATGAGGTAATAATGGTGGCAGTGCATTGCAATCATCGATTCGGGAGTTAGCCGCAAAGAGTTTTGCCTGTAAATCGGCTTTCGCCTGTGTCAACAGGCGGAAGTATTTGTGTCTCCGTCAGGAATAACAATGCTGGCCGTGCTGTTTAAAGATATTGGTGGTCAGTGTTGAGGTTAGGGTGGAGTCCGCGTATGTTGTGGAACTACACCTCAAACAGCGTTGAAGGCGTGGAGGTGTGTAAAGCTGTAAGTCCAAACTATGTTTATGGGGCTGCCATGATGTAGGTGAAAAAGAGACGTGAAACGAGCGGACGTTGTCGCGACAGGACCGGGCAAATTAGGGAGGTTTGTTTCCCCGAATGACTGCAAAGGAGATGCGCCAACCCGCCGACGGTCCACCCTGAGAATATGCGTGACATGATGGGGCAGCCTCGCGAACTGGTTAGGAAGGCTCGGGCCCCTGTGCTGTGCCACGGGCGGTCAACAGGACAGCCGTTTCTACGGTTCTCATTGGGCGGCGGGTCGATGCAGGCTTCCGGCATCGGTTCGACGAATGCCTCCCCTGGAACGAATCTGTCACAGCAACTCCCACTCGAGCTCTGGTTATATGCTGGCTGACCCTGAAACGGGTTTTTCACCATGCGCATGGTGGTAACAAATAAAGCAGGTGTTAAGCACCCTACCACCAGAAGAGTGGATGGAAGCTCCGATATCCCTTATTCGCTTCTTACAACACCCACCGGAAGAGAAGGGGTGGTGATAAGTATTCTTTCTCCATCACAGCACGGACATTTACGGTTTATAAATAGATTAAATTTCATTACTGGAATAATATAATATAGAATAATCAAACAACTTATTTACAATGTTCTTCTTAATCTGTAATCCGAGAAAACCAATTGTTTCACCTTATAAATTAATTGCAAAATATACATGCTATTTTCCTCTTAAAATCTTTTATGCAAAAGAGACGTAGACATATTATGAGATAAAGTTCTAACTAAATTGAATTTAAATTGGCCACAACTTACCTTCAGCAAAAGGATCAATACGTTCAGGAGATATAATCATCCTTCGTCTCATCTGGCGATATTCATCTTCTCTGTCTGCTATTGTTGGACGTCTTTTATCAGCAAAGGGATCATAATCTTTATCACTCTGTAACAATTTTCAATATTTATCAGGTGTTAGAGATTGCATAGGTTCTCTAAATATATACCTAGGTGGCCTACTTCAGTCAGATTTTCATTTCGTGTTTGTACACAGCATAAAAAAATATTCATTCTATGTAAAAATTTATCTTTTTCCTTTAACCTCTGAGTTGATAGTTGTCATGCGCCGTTTAACGTCAAATTGATTACGTCATCTGTCAACATTCCCGCTGGGTGGGAACGATTGCATTGTTTTGCCGATTTCTCTTTTATTTCGTAAGAATACCCCACACAAACTATATATATTTGGATTCTTCATAAAATTTACTATAAAACTGTGTCTACACAATGCGTCATATCTATAATCTATTTCAATTACGTTACGGTAAACTGGGGAAAGATAAAAAAAGGCGTTCAGATGGGTAAAATGGAGTATATCTTTAAAATTTTAAAATTTCATGTCCAGGTTTTTTGGTTATTTGCACATTCTATTATAACTTACCAAATAAAAACATAAAATACCATACTCCCACAATATAATTTTACACTATAGCTCTCAGAACCACGTGCTAATTGTGTAAACAAAGACGTGTTACAAAAAACAGGTGTCAAGTTTCGCCTGTAGGCGATAAGGGCAGACCGGGCCTGAGTGCCATGATTTATGGGTTTACGGTTAGCTAAGATTGTAAACATCACTTTAGAAACAAGTGTGGCATGAATAGTACTTTGTTTTTTTATAGTTTTAAGAACTTACAACAAGGCATTTTAAAATCGCCTACAAAGCAGTCATCTCAGTTTTATGTGGATAAAAGGAGAAGTATTTACAATTTTGATAAACAGTTTCTTTTTGCAAAATGTACATTAAATTTGCTTTAGAATAAACAAAAACTAATCACTAGTTCGCATACAAGAAAATAATATGAAAAAATATTTCGTTGGAATATTTGAATTTAGAACGACCGTTACACTGCGCGGCTTTTGTTTTTTTTTATTTCTTCAAAAATACTAACTCAAGAGATTCTCTGTATTCGAAATATTAATCATGAATAATTTATTCAATAATTATAAATTAAAATTATCACCATGAAAACATAAGACACAAACCCTTTTTTTTACGACGGATGTAACAAAAAAATTATAAAAAAAAACACGTAAACCCGCAAACGAAACATCAAAATAGAGTAACTTAATGTATTTAACTTGCCCAGAGATGGTGTTTTTTTTAAAAAAAACCACTGAAAAACACTTTAAATAGTCTGAATACACGGCATATTTTTTTCATACAAAAAACGGCGAACGACGAACTTCCACAGACAACAGTATAAATATTTCATATGGCAGTTGACTTAATCAATGGCTAGATAGCTAGCCTGTTCTTTCCTCTACAAATTGATATAAGAATGTAGGTGATAGCAATAAGAATGAATATTTTAATTGCCACTGATTACGTAGTCGCGCGATGCCGAATGTCGGCATGTCATCAGTTTACCGATTATTGACAGACGCCGAAAGTAGTGATGACATTAATTGAGAGGTTAATAGGCCAAATTATGAAAAACCCACAGACTAGAAAATGACCTACATATTTGGATTACTTAAAATGTATTTGTATTTACTATTTATACAGTAGATCCTTATTATGTTATTTCTGGAATGAAAAGCAGATACTGTTAAATTTTCAAAAAGCCATGTGAAGTGCCAGCATCACACATCGCAACTAATCAACCACAAAGAGATTGTGCAATGTCACCTTAATTTATAACACTAATAATTTTGGTAATTGCAATGTTAAAATAAAATCAGAAAGTGGAAACCAACTTACTTGAGCTATGTCATTCAATAAAGAAGCTGGTGCTGTGTAACCAGATCTCTTCTGTGCAATTGGGACATTTTCTACATCTTCATCTTCAACTTCATCATTAGCAGCGATTGATGTGACATATCCATCATACCTCGATTTTCCCCCCTGACCAGCAGTATCATAAATATCACTGTCATAGAAAGTGTCTGCAAGAGACACACCCTTTCCAGAGCCATTTTCAGGTAGTTCATTTTTCTTAGATTGAATTTCTCTTATTTGTGCTTCAATAGCTGAAAAATATAAATAAGTATTTGTTTATAGAACATTCAGATTCAAGGAAATATATTAAAGTTTAAAGTTTTTGGCCCACGTTATGCACACTTAAAAGTATAATTTAGATTTATAATACTAGAAAGTGACCGACACATATGCTTTACATAATTTTTACTAAATAAAATAATAATAAAAATACTAAAAACTGACACGTTCGACATGCAGTAAAGGTTATAGGAGTGGCTGTTAATTAAAAATTTCGAGGAATATATGTACATACTTTCGACTCTTTTGAATAACAATTCCAATACAAAAACATTAATTCAAGTAAAGAATTTATTCGTAGCGCTTTAGGTTTGCATCTGATGCGCATAGGATCAAAATGTATCCTTCAGAAAATGGCTGAAAAGTATGTAATGAAAGCATTGCGACAAAATACCTTCGTGAGTCCTTGGTATCTTCTCCATTATATTTAGTGCAGCATATGCACTTTTTTTAGTAGTTATACCTTATATCGATCTTATTTTACACAAACAACATTAAAATCAACCCTAGATTTCCAACAATTTCTTGACTTTTTACAATAGACAATTTTGTTTGTTTCTTTTTTTTTGTTCAATATTCTCAATTTTCTGGCAAGGCAAAGGAAATAGAACATAAAGCTTCTTCTTTATTTTTAAAAACATTCTCAATTTGTAAAGATATAGGTTGTAAACTCTATACAGCCTCATCGTTTCGATTAAGTTCGACAGACAGAAACGATTGCTTTCAATGATGCTTTCTTTCAAGCATGCTTTTAGACTGTTGACCGTCACCGTTGACCGCAACCATGTACATATAACTTCATACCTGTCTATGTCATACCCGAAACTTACAATACCTACCTACTGATCTGAGGCATAACATAGTTGTCGCGACGGGCAAACGTGACCAAGTCGCGAAATGTAAATATTGGATATGGCAACAAAATCCTGTAATCTGTGGTGAGTAACATTAACCGATTTTAATACCTAATCTGTGGCCCGTAACTCCGCGGTTTTTTACCTGTCAGAAAAGTTTCTTTTCCTTTTGGACTCCGGCTGAAAGGTGTGCTGGTTCCGAGATTCTGGATATGAGAGCTAAGTATCTTCCCCGAGTCGATTAATTACTATTTATGGTTTATGTGATGTGTATCATGATTTCACGTGTCGATTGGAAGGTCGGAAAAGTGACTTACCTATATTAAGAACAATACAAATGTAACATAGATTGGCGATTGTACCGGCAACGCTCGAGGGCGTTGTGCGGGGTGTTAGCCAGAAGAAAGGCTACCCGTAAATTGTACTGGCGAACACTTGAGGGTGTTGCGCGTAGAGTTAGTCGGAGTGCACTTGACTGAACAAACAGGATACGCCGAAAGTGTCCTGTGCCAATCATGAAGCATTGCCTTCATGATCAAAGGCTTATGGTAATCAAAGGGATACGCTGAAAGTGCCAATCATGAAGCATTGGCTTCATGATCAAAGGCTTATGAGAATCAAACAGGATACGCCGAAAGTGTCCTGTGCCAATCATGAAACGAAATGTAAAATGAGTAGAAAATCAACGTGAATGTATATGTGAATATTGATGTGTGTATACATGTAATGTATAGGTATTAATCATGGCGAGGAAGATGCTTAGTGTCTCAACTATGAGATTCATGGTATAATTTCTCTGTACAGGTTCCTTGATGATATTGACAATTGACGAAGGGAATAAATTGAAATAAGCGAAGCAGATATCTATAGCAAACTTAACACAAGACAGAATAAGGTATGAAACATTAATATAACTTGCACTAGTATAGTAACATGGTTAAATTGTTCAATGCCGAAAGTATGAATAATCGCGGTCTGCCTCAGTCCATTGTACACCCTGTTGGTGTGGGTTGTAGGCAGACGATGAGACATGTGTGGTTCTGTGTGGTTTCTGGTTGAACCTCTAAAGAATGTGTTAGTATTTGGTAGTAGTTAATATACTTCATTGCACTAGGTATAAGGATAGAGTAAGACAACCGCACCGAACGCCCACATAGTCTCAGTCGCGACAATAGTACAGTTTGTCTATAAAGTCGTGACATTAAATGATGGCGCCACTAGTATGCATGTAGCAACCCTGTACAGTCTGACCAAAATGATTTTGATACTAGCTGTTCATTCAAGTAAAATAGGTAATTAATAAGACACACTATACAGTCGTATTTTGTTTCTGTTTTATATATAGTAGGTACCTATGCTTATAAAAAGTTTAGCCAAGCATATTTAATTGAATCAGAATAAAATTATTATAGATAAAATAGTACTTTATAGTGTAAAAGTGTTGTGTACAATGTTGGTGATTACCGCTGAGGTGCCATCGAGACCAGAGCCGTTAGGTAATCATCAATACACACAAGTATCATCATACGACGTTTTTTAACACACTTGTTAAGAAAATAATACTAAAAATCATTTTATAGTATATAATAAGTTTATTTAGAGAAACAATTTGTAAATGTGCAGTTAGTAAAATTAGTGATAGGTATCTTCACTAAAAGCATCTAGCCATGGTTTTTTATGTGACCATTTCTTTCTTTGGTCGGCCGTGCCTGTTTTCCCAGGAGTTTCAAACTTTCCATCATTCTTAAAACCTTCGTTGACTATCCGACTCTCTGACTTTCCTGAAAAAAAGTAAAAAAATATGTAACGGAATAGAAACAATAACTTATTGACATGAAGCAATTCATTCAAAATTGGTAGAAAACCTGACCGAGTTGAACCATAATAACGTATCAAAAGAAATGGTCGTACTACAATATTACCTATTTACAATGGTGTCGATTCTGGCGTGATTCTCTAAACTTAAAACTAAATTTAACATCAGTCTCTCCTTTTCATTCTGTATAGAGAATGACAGGGATGCACTGTTGTCAAATTTAAGTTTAGCTTTAGAGAATCATGCCAGAATCGACATCAATGTCAATCTAACCTAAAAATGTGCAATGTAAACAATGCCTTTTTTGGTCTCAAAATCGTAAATTGAGTAAATTTGTAACTTCAGGCAGAATACAAACAAATAGTTACACGATTACATACCCGTCATAGATGCTGTTCGCCCATAAACATCATCCAAATCCCACAAAATTCGTCCAGCTTGGTAGTCTTCGAAACATCGCTGGAAAACTTTAAAAATCCCTTCCCGCGTGCCACTCCGATTTACTTTACTCATTTTTATACCTTTCTGCGTAGTTTCGTCTTAATTTATTACAGTTTAATCCAAACAATAAAAAATACAAAAGGAAAACTGTTCCACAACTGAAACTCGATGACAGCTGATGTACATAAGTTTGTTGTTACCAGACAAATGAATAATGTTAGTTCCTCAAACATTCATGTCACGACTTTATAGACAAACCGTACTATAACGGCATTTACCCTACCCAATTTTAAGGGACCTATCGAAAAGGTGGGCGTGACCCCTAGCCAGGGTAGCAATTATTACACCGCGCCAATTGCCCTAGATTGAGTCCCTTATTCTCTAACACCCATATTCTTAATCGCGTCCTCAAACGTTCCTCGACTCAAACTCATTCGAGGGCTCCTTAAGGAGTTCCTCCAAATAACCTCGAAAATGGTATTCTAGTTGGTATCTTGAACAAACTTGAGAATTCCTCCACTGAGAATTCCTCAACATTGTGACGTCATCATTTGGAGGATTTTATTTCTATAATGGTTAACAGAGGAAATATTACTTGTATGACTGTATCTTTTCTAAACCGAAATCTTCTTTGAAATGAATCATTGTCGTAAACCTTAAAAGGATTTGCGGCATCACGTAAATACCGTCGCGCCGGAAAATTATATGGTTAATCATCGTGTATGTGTTACTGAATAAATAAATAAATAAATCGTATACGTAATACATAAAATCCACAAATTCGTCAATAATCTCAAAATCAGACATAAAACTTGAAAACACCTTAAACACCAGTCGAGGAAGCCTTAAGGTATGTCGAGAGCTACCTTGAGTTTGACAGTTTATTCCTCGACTCGACCTCCACTCGAGTGAGATATATCTCAAGTGAAGGATATTTTTGTTGTCTAAGCATACGAATTTCCTCCAATGAGGTTGAGTCGAGTGGAAAAAATCTCGAGGAAACGACTAAGAATATGGGTGTAAGTCACGTTAGACCACCCTTAGTCAGGGTAAGAGGTGTCCGTGATGCTAGCGTACCCACGATCAATATACGGATTTTCGTTATGCCATTAAATAGTGCGTAAATAGTGCCAAATTAGTGTAAAAATAATAAAAATAGTGCCTCTTTAATTTAAGAAATAAATACCATTTTTACTGTGTACGCTACCATGACGTCAAGCTAGCGTACCCATGGCCGACCCCAAGAACGGCATATATTTAAGCAACGAAATTGACACACAAAAATAGTTCGCAAATAGTGCCCTGGCTTTACAAAATTTCATAATCAATACTCTTAAAGGACCAAAGATATTGAACTAAACATTCTTAGCTGGCGTCAACCTGGCGTACCCATAATAGTTCTCATAGAAAATGAACTTTTCTCGTTATCAATTCTATATGTATAAATAGTGTGTCAAATAGTGCCTCTAAAAGTAAAAGTATTTTATGTGAATCCGCATCACAACAATACATAAAGAGGGTGTTAAATTCTAGGAACAAATGTATTGTAGTACAGTTACACACAAAATTAATTTATGCACTAAGAGATTATCTATATATGTATTTTTACTAAAATAAATAGGTACTTTTTATAACAAGATATTATATTTCAATTCGAATTCACCAATCATAAATTCATATAAGAATTTCAACCTACCTACCTACTAAGTACCTTACTTACCTACTATACTACGAAAATATTATCACTTCTGTACATGACTGTACTTCATATATAAAAATAATTTATTTGCTTTTTTTATATTGTTTTACTGCGAATTAACATAAAATACTTTTACTGTTAGAGGCACTATTTGACACACTATTTATACATATAGAATTGATAACAAGAAAAGTTAATTTTCTATGAGAACTATTATGGGTACGCCAGGTTGACGCCAGCTAAGAATGTTTAGTTAAATATCTTTGGTCCTTTAAGAGTATTGATTATGAAATTTTGTAAAGCCAGGGCACTATTTGCGAACTATTTTTATGTGTCAATTTTGTTGCTTAAATATATGCCGTTCTTGGGGTCGGCCATGGGTACGCTAGCTTGACGTCATGGTAGCGTACACAGTAAAAATGGTCTTTATTTCTTAAATTAAAGAGGCACTATTTTTTTATTTTTACACTAATTTGGCACTATTTACGCAGTATTTAATGGCATAACGAAAAACCGTATATTGATCATGGGTACGCTAGCATCACGGACACGGGTAAGAGTACCTTCCGTATATCCATGGTTGCTCTTTATCAAACGACTTGTGTCCGTAATGCTAGCGTACCCACGATCAATATACGGATTTTCGTTATACCATTAAATACTGCGTTACTAGTGCCAAATTAGTGTAAAAAAAAAGCCTCTTTATTTAATGAAATAAAGACCATTATTACTGTGTACGCTAGAATGACGTCAAGCTAGCATACTCATGGCCGTCTCCAAGAACGGCATATATTCAAGCAACGAAATTGACACACAAAAATAGTTCGCAAATAGTGCCCTGACTTAACAAAATTTCATAATCAATAGTCTTAAAGGACCAAAGATATTGAACTAAACATTCTTAGCTGGCGTCAATCTAGCGTACCCATAATAGTTCTCATAGAAAATGAACTTTTCTTGTTATCAATACTATGGTGCCAATTCTGGCGTGATTCTCTAAACTTAAAACTAAATTTAACATCAGTCTCTCCTTTTCATTCTGTATAGAGAATGACAAGGATATACTGCTGTCAAATTTAAGTTTAGATTTAGAGAATCATGCTAGAATCGACACCTATATATGTATAAATGGTGTGTCAAATAGTGCTTTTATCAGTAAAAGTATTTTATGCTAATTTGGCACTATTTACGCAGTATTTAATGACGTAACGAAAAACCGTATGTATTGATCGTGTGTACTCTAGTAACACGGACATAAGGACTTGGACCACATACTATTAAGGACTCATAGAGGTATAAGTACTTGTACTTCTATGCTTGGACTTGCTTGTCAAATCAAATATTTTAATCTGTGTATTGCATCTTTGTTTTTTCCTTTTCAAGTCTGTGATCTTTCTCCTCGCGGCTGCCATAGGTATGTGTATTGCTAAAAACCTGATGGAATTTATAAATTTTATGTTTTTATAGCCATAATTGCTCAATACTACTTCATTTTTATGCAGGAGGAAGAATAGCTGGCCCTGGCTTTCACAGGATAGTTATTCTGGTGGATTAGCTACAGTACATACGGTAAGTGGAGAACTATATTGTAGTAAGTTCCACGTCAAATGTGTTGGAAGGTGACACGTATTATCACAAACCACAAGTTTTGTGGATAGCCACAATCCGAGGGTTCTAATATCTTATTTAGAACCAATCACTTCCCTTTATATTCTAGAAAATGTGTATAAATACGTAGCAAAATTACATACTATATCATCATTTGCGTTGCAGTAGGTACATGTAAATCTACAAAAGAGTACTTCAATGTTCATCTGTTGGCAATAATTTATTTCTTAATAATAATTCTGTCTTTCTTGCAATCTAATTTAATTCTCCATGACAGAAGATTATTTATATACTAACTGTAATGATTTTCTAATGAATTTGATAATGTATTTTTATTGATAAGATTGAATAGGCCTAAGTCCACTTGTTCAATGTCTGGACATAAGGGGATTGCTTGTTTGTTGTTTTCTTCTTTTAAGTATAATTTTGATATTTTTATTTGTTGGTTATAAGTGGTAATTTTATATCCATATTCAAAGATATATTTACTAGAAAAAAAACATCACGGCTCAGGTATTAGACTGGAATCTAATTAACTCTATAATGTAAGTAATTTATATTTTCTATTCAATGTTTCAGTTTTTTAAAAACAAGTGTAGGAAATTGTTTTTTCTATTTGGTACCATTTAACATTTGATTGCTGGTCTATTCAGCTTTTTATACTTTAATGTTAAATATTGAATAAATAATATTAAAGTAACAGTACATACACTATTTACACTTCTGTGAAGTGTATTTTATGCATCTAGACTAGCAATGTGCCAAGTCAGACTGACTCAACTACGGACTAGCATGCACAGCAGGTACTCGAGTATATAAAATTTTGGATCAGATCCACAAAACTTGAACATCACAGTATTTTGGAATATAGTGTTATGTTATACTATTTTTTTTACCAATGACTGTGGTAGTGTGGATGGTTTCAAAGCAAAAAATCTGAATTAGGGAACTCTAATTGTACATACTCTGTCTGTACTGTAATGTTTATATTTACACAGATTATATTAAATTATATATTTATCTATTATTATTTAATATTTTTCTTTCGTTCATACATGATTTGTGGTGATATTTTAGATTTTGTTGTCAAAAGCAAACTAATGTTCAATTCAAAAAGTACACAAGTCCACTGAAGTATTTGAATACTCATGCTAGTACTCAAATACGACAGGTATTTAGTCATCTGACTCAATTCCTATTTTTTAATGAATACCAAAATATTTGAATTTAGAAACAGCTGACTCGGCACATCACTAATCCACACATGTTACACAAGTTAGTAAATTAAATAAGTTAAACATGTAAGATCTAATGCTGGCAGTATAGAATTAAATAAAATTTTGTTATTTTTTTAATAAAATAGGTTCCTGAGATTATAATTATATTTGTGCGTAAAAAAAGAAAACTTGTGTTTTAGGCACCTGCTTATAAAGATAATTAAGGAACAATTAAGGACTTAAATCTTTTCTAATTTATTTAAAGTCTATGATTACATTAGGCACCAGTCACATTATGGTTTCTTGTACTTCGGTTTTGCTCATAATGCTGTTAAAAACCCTATCCAAAAGAAGTTGGGCAATGGAGTTTTTCTGCTCCAATTGGAGCTCCAGTAAAATAACACTACCTTGGTTGTGTAGTGTTTCTGTCAATGAGTGAAGTTCCAGGGCACCACAGGGTGGGTACTTTGGTCAGGGTAGGCAACGGTAAGACTTATTCATATGCTTGTTTGCCAACTTTTTAATTTAGAAGTATTGTGGCATGTGAAATGTAACAGTTGTTAATAATACTTTAAAAATTTTCTCCTGAAAATCTATTTAATGTTTCAATCTTGACCCCGCTCGACTTCAAATCATGAACCAGATATTATTTTTTACTTTTTAGTTCCATTTTCGATTTTGAAGACGGTTTTATTTTTTGTTTAAAATTTTTTTATTTCATACATTTTAGTGAAAATTACATCGTCCAAGTAAACAATAACACAATTGACGGAGAAATTGGTGAACATGCATAAAATATCGTGCGTGCCTTTGAAATTTTAAGTTTCCCCTCGATTTCCCCGGATTCCACCATCAGATCCTGGCTCCAATGGGACCACCTCGGAAGTGCACTCTTTAAAAAAAAAATTTTGGAAATCGGTCCACAATTGACGGAGATTTCGGTGAACATACATACATACAAAAAAAAAATACAGTTGAACATAGAACTTCCTCCTTTTTTTAAGTTGGTTAAAAATTACTTAACTATTTCCACTATCTATAAAAGCCTTTCTTAGACTTTCTTATACAAAATTAATTTTGTTTTATTATATAGACATGAACAAAAGTTTTAAATTATCCGAAAATACTCATAAATGTTAGACATTCAATGTATTTAGTATGCATTTTAAAATTAATTAAAATAATAAGCATATAAAAGAGAAAATAAGTTGAAAATAGTTCTTCATAGATCATAATTTAAGAATAAAATTTTTTTTGGGAAATTAGAGTGACTGTTAATGAGATAATATTTAAATGAAACGATTTTACCCCTATCCATTTTAATATTGTCTCCTTTTGTTGCCGCTTTTACATAAACTAGACAATTCTCTAGACCACACCGCAAAAGAGAAAGCTGATCTCCAGAACATCAACATCGAATTTGACTTGATGACGGGAGAAATATATCACCTATCATTGCAAGGTGCAAGAACACCATGCCTGATATCCGCTTTACTCAAGCACCATGCGGCGAGGTCTTGTTTCCGAGCATAACAGGAGGTCTAGCGGGCCAGATGAAATCCTAACTATAGTACTGAAAATTTGTGCTCCAGTGCTGATGCGCCTTTATTATTACTCCTATGTCGCTGGTATAGTCCCCTCTTCACGAGAGGCAGCCTTAGTGCATACCATCCCTAAAAAGGGACGACTGTTCAGACCCCGCAAACTATGGACCCGTAGCCTCTCTGTTAAGACAATGGAGCGCATCATCAACTCGGAGCTCCTTGGTTATCTTGAGGAGCATCAGCTGATCAGTGACTATACCTTACCTTATCCTTTACCTACCTTACGCTCCGATGGGCAGAGGCAACTGAGAGCAAGGGTGAGGCACTGGCTGTCAGCCTTGATATTGAGAAGGCATTTGATGAGGTCTAGCACGGGGCACTTTTGTCAAAGTTTCAATCATATCGGCTCGCCCATGGGTTATGCAAATGCATTGCCAAATTTCTGTCAGAGCTCAGTATATGAGTTGTGGTTCACGGCGTCACTTCTGACATTAAATCCATTGCTGGCTGATTTTCTGAAACTAGAACATCTCAAATGTATGAAAAAAATTGGTCGACACCTTTTATTTGCCCAGATCTGACTGTCGACTTAGTTTGAAGAATTAGAAAGATCTTCTCTCAGCGGTTTTCCCTATTAAAGGTAGACCGCTGTACTGTGTCCTCGCCTGCGGGGTAAAGGGTGTGGTGGTGGACGAGAACGGGGACCGCGGGAGGTGCGGGCGGCAGGCACATTCTTGTCAAAATTACAAGCGTCCGCCGCCCGCACTTGTCACGCCTTGCCCCCATTCTCGTCCTTCCATAAATATTGACATCTATTGTTTTACGCAATAACTTCCTTTATCACATTACAAAAAAATATTGAGCTGTAATCATACTATTTAATGGCATCAGATCATGTATTAGAAATTATTCTTGTAAGATTTCGTCTATAACATATCAAGTAAAAGCTTTTGTTTAGATAAGTAAACTCAAGCATAAATAGAATCATGGTGTTCTTTAATTTCCAAAATTAGCATCATGGTTAAAATTTATTGCTATGGAACGACTGTAAGCAGGTTTGTACTCAAGTTTAAAGAGAAATGTGAACATAATACCTACATTTTATTTTCTTAAAACTGAGTATTTTTTTTCCTTAACAAAGGAATTCATATTTTAATATCCTATTCATAAAATTATACAAAATCTAACCTTCATGGTATATTCAACATTAAGGAGCAATAGAACTAAAGTTTAAACAATTGTTCAAACATGCCATGCAAATATGGTGCAGACATTTTCATGATTATGAACTTAAACTTATAACACATTTACTTTTTCATAGTACTGTAACGACTTGGCGCGCACAAGGACTGCTGGAGGAGACGAAAATGATGCATCAGCAATCCATGATGGTTGGAGATATGTTACCCGTTCACCCTGAAATACCCGTGCATGCCGAGGAAATGAATAATGTGGGCTATGACAACAGTGGCTCATATGCATACGACGATCTGTTCCCTGCGCTGCCGCACTCCCAACCCCCCGTGCAGCGCAACATTCAACAAGTGACTAATAAGCTTCGTGTTGGTTCTTCTCTGCACACCCAGGTATAACATAATATACATTTCTTGAAATCTTCCAACATTTGATTGCACTGAAAGAATTAATTACCTTTGAAAAACAAACTGTCTGGTTGTAATGTGTATATGATTAAGGAAGATGTTTCATATTTGTATGGAACTCGGGCTAGTACTTGTACATAATGTACAAATAAAAGAAACAAGAACATAGTCGACGACTCCGGCCATTAAAATTTCCATATTTTGCTTTATCTTGCAGTACATTTTTTTTAAATTAATTACATTACAGTCAAAGTTTAGAATAGGGAACATAGTTTTTAAACGTCATTTTGGCGTATATAAAGTCTAGAAAACTTAACGTCAGTCTGTGTCAACAGTTCAGAAATACAATACAATACAAGCACAGCACTCGGATTTCGCTACTCGGAATTGATTGACAATGTGTTCGTGAGTTACCTAATTTCGAATAATACCTTTTAAACCCTTCTGAATTGAGTACTATTCATTAATAATACTAACCCTGTTACGTGCTTAGTAGTAAGAAATAAAAATACCACTTACTTAAGTATTATTTATTTATCACATTACTTACTGACAGTTGTAAGGTTAGACTTGGCAATGAACCAGGACCGCTCCGATCCGCCGGACAAGTGTTTTTTAGACACTCTAGAAAACCTTAAATTACCGAATGATACAACCCTAAATGTGTCGCTCAAAGCCTAGGTGCTATCGGTGCGCTCAAGGACACCACGGTGGCAGCTGCCCTACTTTAAAGAAAAAAACACACCTGCTTACACTGCTCTGGAGGTCACTTTGCTACCAGCAGAGAATGTCCAGAATTTTCCAGACAGCACAACATCAAGATAGTTATGTCCCAGGAAAATATCTCATTCTTAGAAGCCTCTGCTCAGTTGGCCCCGTTCGTAGACCCTACTCTGATGTGTCAAGATCTCCACTTTATACTCAATCTCAACCTGTTCCTGTGTCACCACAGCTGCAAGTGCATAGTTCAACAATACAGAAAAACTGTATTGCTCCCCTCTCGAAATAGAGCTCCTATCCCTAAACGTTTTGACTGTCTTTCTCACCAATCTATTGTCTCTGAAGATCCTCCCTCTTTACCCAATGGGTCCAATCTAGAGAACCCTTATTCTACATCGAGCGACGACAGATTCCTCGAACATATAATTTCACTTCTCACAGATATACTCTGCAGATTCAATGATGCCTTACCGCCCAAAGTTGCCCATAAAAAACACTTACTAGCTAATGTCCTTCCCAAAAATGGTCCAGAGAAATCCAAATATGAACACTTTCTTCAATGGAAAACTAGAAGTGTTATCCCCAAACTACACGAACTGATGTATTTACTCAACAAATATCACATTGCCATCGCTGCCATCTCTGAGACATGGTTGAAACCAGACATGCGATTTAAAGTGTCTGGTTACATATGCCTCATGGAGGACAGAGATAATGGTCATGTTGGTTGCGCTCTTCTGATTAAAAATTGCTTCACATTTAATTGTCAATTCCTTCTAACAGTAATACCTTCAACATAATAGCTGCAAAAATCTCTGATATTTCATTGATATCCATTTACAACCCTAAACCTTCAACACATCTCATCTCAGAATTAGAAGCGATACTGAAGGCCTTTCTCAAACCACTCATCGTTCTTGGAGACTTTAACACCTACCACACATAGGTGCAATCACACTTTTGTGATTCATTCTCTGTTCAGCTAATTGATCTAGCTGACGAAATTGATCTATGCATCCTCAATGACGGTAGCCCCTCTAGAAGAGTACCCTACCCAAGACATAAGATCTGCAGTAGACCTCACATTGTGCTCCCCTTGTTGGGCTCCTACCTTAACATGGAAGAATGGTTATTCAGATAACATATTAAATCTTTATTTGTATAAATACCAAGCAACCTCTCTAATATCGTGTCTCTCTCACTATGGGAAAGTGGCGAAATGTCTTTCTTTTCTGGGAATGCTTGTTGTTTATCCTATTTTTTAGGAGTGTGTACATAGACATGGCCCAAAATGAAATATCACCTTTTTAGTTTTAAGAAAACATTAGTTGTTTTCATAAACAAGTACCAAACACGTGGCAGGACAAGCAGAGGCTTACATAATCACTTGATAGAGTAGTTGTTATTTTATTTTCATTGATAAAGATACTATAGGTATAAAGTACAGGTATATCTTAATCAGTATTTGTTATATAGATTTTAACTCTTAGATTAATTAAATGTTGTTTCTCTTACTTCCAAAATCATAAAAGTAAAAAAAATCTTAATACACCATCAGCAGAGAATTAAAGACATTGTTAATAAAGTAACATTTATTTTGATATTACGTGAAATGTATGATATATTTTATTTGAAATGCCTGAGTGCTCTTTTATTTAATTTCTATTTAGCAATTTCCTTATTATTCAATAGGTCTTCCATGTGCCATATGAAGAAAGAAAATTAGATAATGCCAATACATTTGGTGAGGGAGAATCGCTAAGAACTTGTCAAGCTATCACTAAGGATACTGGAGCCCACATTGAAATATCTACAAGCAAGGATGGAAGTCTGACTTTCCTCATAACTGGAAAGCATAGTGCTGTCCTTGAGGCCAGGCGCCAAATTTTGACGCATTTTCAACAACAGGTAGGTTATATTACCCACACCAAATTTGACAATATAGACAGTACATTTTAGAAACTAAAGGTAACAAAGCAATATTTTTCTAGTAAAATTTTCTTTAGATTTAATAAAAAAATCTAGTAGTTTATTGCTTAAAATAAAAATATATAAAGTAAAGCCAATATTATGGTTCAAATTCAACTTATAAAAAACAATGGATTTAATTCTTTAATATCTATTTGCCTTACATAATATTTAATATGTATAGGCTAGCAAGCAAATTTCGATCCCCAAAGAACATCATCGTTGGATCTTGGGAAAACTAGGCCAAAAACTGAAGGACCTTGAGAAGGTGACTGCTACGAAAATTAGCGTGCCAAGTATTTCTGACAATAGTGAAACTGTCACTATAACAGGAACCAAGGAAGGCATTGAGAAAGCTGAACATGAAATCAGAGTGTGCTCTGAGGAACAGGTATGTTACGTATATTTAATAAACACCTCATTATAAATACAGTAATTGGATATGCATAGAGAATTGGTGACATCCAATATTATATACAGGGGGAAATTGAATGTTTCTATGAAACTTCGTGAGATTGTTGGGTTACGTGTATAGAGTATGCCTGATTTTTTTCGGATTTTTTTGAAGTATATTTTTTTTATGTATTTATTTATAATTTGTGTATTTTTATGTCCTTTCCTCCTTTTGAGTAGTTATTCATTTTAAACAAACAAACTTACATATCCAGTGAAAAACAACTAATAAATAAGCACTTCTAAAAAACGGAAAAACATTAAAATTCCACCGCGGGTCAACGACCGACCGCGCCCGCCAGCCGTTGAGTGAGTAGGTACCTCTACACAGAGCTCAGCTGACTCCTTTGATTCCACACAATACAATAAAATCGTCTTAGATGCCTTTATTGAAATTGAAATAATAAGCACAAATGTCATCTTCTCTTAAGCAGAGAAAAACTTTAAAAGTTAATAATAATTTTGTCACGATTGGAAATAGGCAAATTTTAAACAAAAAGAAATACTTATTGCAGTTCAATACTTGGGTCAGAATGAAATTTATAACCAGGTATTCAAAAGTACTTACGAGACCGGCGATGTAGGTAGGTACAACGAGGAACGAGGAACATATTCATTTTTTTCACTAGAACTTTTTATCAAATCAATCACACCGGTAGTACACAATTAGTTGTTTCTAATCAAAACATATTTACACTAGCAATAAAAAGAGACTTAAATTGTTATCTGCAAAATTGTTGCTCTAAACCACCATTTTGCTGCAAACAAAGGTAGGCACGTTTGCGGACGTGTCTTTTCACCTTTTTTAAAGTGTCCCTATCACTACTCACTGCACAAAATGCAACTTCTATGGTTTGGGGACTCATTCGTAAACCAAACCTACTTCGTCACACTCGCGATAGCAGTACACCATCTCTAAATATTCTTGGTTCGTATACTGAGGCATAATGAAATTATCACAGTGTATGGTCACTAAGTCCAAAGATGCGCACGCCCACGCGCGATTGATATACTTGCGACCGCGCTTTGCATGCAATCAAAGCAAAGCACCGCGTGCGGGGAAGAGGGGAGGTGGGCGGAATTCACATCATCAAAGACGCCGCAGCCGGCGCTGCATGTTTCTTGCCAGCGTGCAGCGCGCCGCCCGCCCGTGCTTGATGCAAAACAACTTATTTATATTATGTGTGTGTGTGTGTATGTGTGTGACTGTGGCTGTGATTAAATGTGTTCGGAATTTCATGACGTGGGCAAATCAGACACGAAGAGTTCTTTCCTTCACTAAGCTCGTAAGTTATACCGATTTGCTCTGTATGATTTTTCCCAATTTTAAATAGGCCGTTTGTGCTTAAGTTTTAATTAAACGAGGCAACTAACATTAACAATAAAAAAGAAGTTCTTACACTAACAGACAGGCTTTACCGATTTAAAATCGTGACAGTCATATTAACTTTATAGGATTTTTAATTGCTCTAACAGAAGATTTAATTGATTAATTACCTGTGCTTTATGAAATAATATTCAAAGGTATTGTGTATCAGTGAATAAATAATTATAATATTGCATCTAAGACTATTTTATTGTAATGTTTTTAAATAGTGTGGAATCAAAGCGGAGAGTAGGTAAACGCCAAGTCATCTGTGCGTGTAGTAGGTACCGCACACACACAGGCGGCCGCCGGTCGTCACCCCGGCGGCCGGCGCTGATCTCGACTGGAGGCATTCATTAAGTTTCCGTTTTTTTAGGAGTGCTTATTTTAAGTTGCTTTATAACTTCTATGTAGACGTGTTTAAAATGAACAATTACTCATAAGGCAGAAATGACAAAAAACAACCAAATAAAAAATTAAAAAACGAAAAAAAAAATTTTAAAAAATCCGAAAAAAATCAGGCATACTTTATACACGTAACCCAACAATCTCACGAAGTTTCATAGAAACATTCAATTTCACCCTATATCTTTATATATATAATTCTTCTGTGAGTGTGTATGTCACTAAACTTCTCTTAAACGACTGGACCGATTTTGATGAATTTTTTTGTGTGTGTTCAAGGGGATCTGAGAATGGTTTAGATTCACAATTTTTTCCGCTGGATAACTCCTATTTTTTTAGGGCGGTACGAAGTTCGCTGGGTCAGCTAGTATTTATAATAAAAAAAAATTTTTTTTAAGGTTGTTCTTATTATCATACAATCCATTTCCTTTAGTAGGCACTTTTACGAGGGGAGGTCAATAAATTCGCTCAATGGAGGGGTTGGTAGGGGTAGGTTTACTCGTCCAGGTAGGCACTAGTTGCGCACCTCATTAGAGTATATATACCAAGTTTGAAAATAATCGGGTCAAAACTCTATAAACTCGAGCAAGCCCAGCTGCCACTCCGACTACTCAAGATAGTTGCATCCTTCCTCGCCGACAGCCGCATCCAAGTAGCAGTTGAGGGCGCACTGTCAACTCCGCGCCCAGTCCTAGCAGGTGTCCCACAGGGCAGCTGCCTCTCACCTCACCTATATTCGGTTTATACGAATGATGTCCCGGTCGTTGGCGATGTGAAGCTCGCTTTATATGCAGCCGACACTGCCTACTCGTCTATCCGCCCCCGCCACGCCGCCGCCAAACTGCAGCCCACACTAGACGCCTTATCTCCATGGCTCGACAAATGGCGCATACGAGTTAATGTAGGCAAAACTCAAGCGTTACTCGTCGGCTCTCAACGCTCAGACCCACCACCACTCACCATCTTAGGCAGGTCGGTCTCGTGGGCCCCCGAGGTCAAATACTTAGGAGTCACGATCGACCGCCGCCTAAACCTCCGCCGCCACGTCAAAAACACTGTGGCTCAAGCTAAAGCAGCCAGAGCGCAACTGCGCCCAGTATTACGAAGCCGCCTGCCCATCAAAACAAAAGTAAATATCTATAAAACATACATAAGACCACTACTCACATACGCAGCCCCCGCGTGGTACGCACTGGTTGCGGAATCGCAACGAGAGAGACTACGCGCCCAACAGCATCACACCCTGCGAACAATCACCAACGCAGGTTATTTCATTCGAAACTCTACCCTACATAGAGACCTCCGCACCGAACAGCTAGACGATTTCATCCAGAGACTAGCTGCCAATATGTACGGTCGAGCGAGCCACTCTTCGCATGACCATCTGCGTGACTTAGTGCCTGCGTACGAGCGCTCCCGTACCCGCCGCGACAGAGCCCTTCCCAGAGAGATACTACCGCCGGAAGAAGCACCACAAAGTTCGGTGGAGCCACCGCCACCTAGTTAGCGTCGGCCCCGCCCGCATCACAGCGGGCGGGCCCCCATATTTGACTTACCCGATTCCTGATTCCTTCCTAGATTGGAATGGTTTAAAAAATATATATATACAGTCGTGGTCAACTAATTAGGGACTTTCAAGATAGTGAAGAGCAATAACCGGTTATGTACATATAAATATAAAACCCTATTCATTTCTCAGCATTTTGCAATTTGGTCCGATTATTATGCTATAAATGGCTGTAAATAAAAGTAAATAAATAGAAAAAAGTATTTAATATCGAAGGTTGAACATGTATTCAATTTTAAGGTATAATTCTGTAGCTGGACATTTAATTAAGGACAGTAAACTATAATGAAAAATAGAGTTAAACAAAACTAATAATCTGCAGTATTATAATATCTTTAACAGCTCCATTTTATTACGTGTAAAATCAGTACCCAGTAGCAAAACCTTTGTTAGTAATTACCGCTTGACAACGATGTGGCATAGACATTATCAGTTTCTGGCATATTTCGACAGGAATGTTTGCCCATGCCACACAAAAAGCTTCATTAAGTTTATCTAAAGTTGTGGTACGATAAGTGGCAACTTTTTTCTTGATTTCGTGCCAAAGGTGCTCGATTGGGTTAAGGTCCGGGCTATTTGCTGGCCAATCTAGCACCGATATTGACTGACTGGTAAGAAACGACTTGACTGAACGAGCGGTATGTTTCGGGTCGTTATCATGCTGAAACGTCCATATAATAGGGAGATGCTCCTCAGCATAGGGAAGCATCGTTTCCTCCAATATTGCCTTGTATTGATGTTGGTCTAAGTTACACTGAACTTTCCCCACAGGTCCCACTCCACGTCCAGAAAATGAACCCCACATTTTAATGTTTCCACCGCCATGTTTCACCTGCTTTTTTGTGAATCTTGGATTCATTCCCGCTTTTACTGGACGCCGTACGTATTGCCTTCCATCTGAAGAAATCAAATTAACCTTGGTCTCGTCAGAGAATAATATATGTTGCCATTGGGCGTAGGTCTAATGTCCATATTTACGTGCAAACGCCTAACGAGCATTTCTATGTTCTTTCTTTAACAACGGTACTTTGCGAGCCACTCTTCCGAACAACCCTGCTTCTACCAGACGTCGTCGAACGGTCCTCGCTGAGACACCAGCTCTTTCGTCTGCCCCAAACACTTCGTGTTTAATTAAAATAGAGCCTAGAAACGGATCTTTCTTAGCTAACCTGGTTATCATTCTATCTTCTTGCGGAGTTGTTTTTCTCGATCTTTTCGTTCTGGGCACATTTAAAGCTGTTTTATTGCGTCTGACATGTTGCACTGCATTGTATACCATAGTTTTTGAACAATTTAAATGTTCTGCTATCCTTCGGTATGGCCAACCATGCTCGACAACAAACTTCATGATAATTTTTCGTAGTGTTGGATCGCAACTTTTATTTCTGCCCATTTTTCTTCAAAATATTTTTAAACCTCAAAATAAAAATCGGGATTGCCGCCAAAACTACCACGAAACAATAAGAGCAGAAGTAAAAAAGTATTGAGATTCAAATTTTGAAAATAGAACGCAATATCTCATTGTCCCTAATTAAATGGCCAGCCAGCATTATTTGATCAAATAGCACTATTAGTCCAGTCAATGAAGGATTAATTTTGC